CCCGGCTGGGCGCGGCGGGCGGGCGTTCTCCTGGACCGCGTCCCGCCCGCCCTGGCTGCCTTAGTCATCTTTGGCTCCAGCGCGGAGCCTCCATTCCTGCGGCTAATGGAGCCTCAGGGCAAGCTGCCCCTCCCTTTTCTGCAGCCCACGCTGGCGTACGTTCCCCTCTGCGCACCGGCTCTGGGGGTGGGGGCCACATCCACCACACCAGGCACAAGCTGGACAAACCCAGGTTCCCACCGGTCACTGCACAGACCCCCAAACGCCACCGTCCACTGTGAAAGGACTCGGGAGGGAGACGGTCTCCAAGGCTCCTGAGGCTGGGACTGTTCCTGGTGCTTCCTGTCCTCCCACAGGGCTTCCCGGGGGCATGAGAAGGGCGACCGCAGGGTTGCTTTGGGGTGTGTGCGTATGTGTGCACATGCACAAACACATGTGTGCCCATGCACGTGTAAATGTGTGTTCCTGTGTGTGCATGTGTGCACACATGTGTGCACATGTGCAGGGGCTGCAGCAGGCAGAGCTGAGGGCCTGGGCAGGAACCTGGAGGATGGATGTCCCGAACCCCTCCCACAGCTCCCACGTGGGCCAGGGCGGGGACAGGTCTGTGCCGGGTCTCAGTCCTGGCCGGTCCGCGCCCGCCTGGCCACCAGGCCCTGGATGGGCCACGGCAAGCGCTCCCCCGGCTGGGCACGCTCCAGACCCCAGCAGCTCCAACCCCGGGGGTCGTGCGTGGGCCCCCAGGGAGCGGGCTCTCTGCAGTCCACCCTGAGGGACGGGGCCCAGGGCCCGCTGCTCTGTGGTCCCCATATCTAGTGTGGGTGGCAGATGCCGGTCACCCAAGCAGCTGCTGGACGGCCACACCCCCTCTGGCCCTTGGGGTGGACAGGTGCTGACAGGGGCCAATAGCATGAACGCATGTCACATGAATCCTGCCGCTCGCTCACCAGGTGACCGGTGACCCTGTCACTGTCCCCCTCTCTGCCTCCAGCTCCTCACCTGTGAGGTGGGGGTGCCAGGAAGCCCATCCAGAGGCTGTCCTGGGATGAAGTGAGGGGCATGGGGTGCTGTGGACAGACCCGATAATGCCCCGCGGACACCCCTGCCAGACGAGGGGGACCCCTCCAGCTGCCTCTGGTCCCCTGAGGCCCCCACAGGCTTTCCCCGAGCCCAGCAGGCCCAGGTGCCCACCCGAGGCCCCCGACGCCACCAGGCCACCTGTGCTGGCACCCCCACCAGAGCTCAAACCCAGCTCTGCTGCTGCCGCCGCCGCCGGGCTGCGTCGTAGCCCAGGGCGCTGCCCTTTCTCCCTGAACCCCTGCTTTCACCTGCGGTTTGGGGAAGCCGACCTCACCCAGCAGAGCAGAGGTGAGGATGAAGGGAGGAGACAGTTGGGTTTGGGGTCACAGCCGGGACCCCGAGCTATAAGAGCCAGTGTGCAAGCAGCCAAGCCCAGGGGGCCAAGCAGCCCCAAGGTTGGCACAAAGAAAGGGCCTTGGGAGACCAGGGGGGTGCTGTGCAACATGGAGGGCTTCAGAGACGAGGTGACGATTTTGATACGAGGAGGGGATGTGGGGGCAGCAGAGGCATTCAGAGCAGCAGGGAGACCTGGACACCCAAGTGCAGCACACCCTCTGTCCCGCCTCCCAGCCCCAACACTCGGGTACAGGTGGAGACTGGGCCCCCATCCCCGACCCCTGCACAGCAGAAACCATTTCCAGTTTCTGGCAAGAGGGACTCAGGCCTCTGGGACCGTGAAACCCATGGGGAGAGGGTGCAGGTGTTCGGGCTTGGGCTGGGGGCTGGGGGGCAGCCTGGGGGCCACATGGTGGGCTTACAGACACGCGTGCCCCGCTCCGTGGGCAGCCCCCCGGTCCCAGCTGGGGAGCCCGCTGTCCGTAAACCCCACGCTGCTAATGGCAGCTGAGAGTCCCCGTGAAAGGCCTCCGGAGACGGATTTGGTTTGGTCAATTCTAGGAGGAAACTGGCAGATTTGCAGGGAATTGGTTATTCATGCCCCAAATGACAGTAAATCCTGCCTCCACACACACTGCTTGCTGGCTGCAGCTCTTTCTGCCGGGCAGGCCCGGAGGAGCAGGGAACCGCCTCCTCGGACATGTACGCACCAGGCAGAGCTGGCGCCCGCCCGCCCGCCAGACCCTCGGACGCTGTCCTCGGTGCTGAACGGGCATTTTGCTGAGGGAGGGGGTGGTGACATCCCCGTGGCGCCGGAGGCCACCTCGGATCTGTGGGACAGCCCTGGCCATCCGTGGACAGGCCAAGCGTGCAGGAGCGCAGGTCTCCAGGACAGATGCCGACCAGGGGGACGGGGTTGGTGGGCACACACCCGGCGTCCCCCAGCAGCACCGAGTGTATGTGAACAGTGTGTCTGAGGATCCTCGCAGGAGCCAAGCCCGGCTGTGCAGAGCGTCACCATGCTGCAGGGGTCTCACCTCCCAGCTCCTCGCACCTGCTGCCTCACCTCCAGCAGGCCATGAGCCCCAACCCCCATCCCAGGGTCGGCTTCTGGAGCCCTGAACTAGGTTCCCACTCACCACAGCCTCGGCGCCCAGACACTGAGCTTCGGAGAGGAGAGCCCTTTCTTTGAGCGCTGCGGCGTGGCCCTGTTTTCCAGGGGTCAGGGTCTCAGTGGGGCCCTCCAGCCAGGCAGTGGCTCCAGGTGGGGGCAGGTGGCCACAAAGTATTTGCATCTTGGGTGCTGCTTGCCCATCTCCCCCTTCAGCTCCACGAGGCCATGAAGGGCGCCCGCTCATGGCAAACTCGGCAAAGTCCTAAAGGCTTTCTCTTTAAACATCCCGGACAGACATTAAGGGAGAAGGCCTCCATGCCCTCGTGCCCCCCCCAAAGTCCACTCTGGCCCAGGAGGCCGGGGCTCCAGCCACTCCAGCCGCTCCAGCCTGGGCGCTTCGGCGAAGGGAGGGTGGCCTGGGGCTGGTGGCCTCACAGCCCGACTCCGGGGCCCGGGGTCTGTGCCCCCCTGCGCCTGCATTCTGTCTTCCAAAACGTGTCGGCTCTGAGTTTTAAACAACTGCAGTCCTTGCAACCGGCTGAATGTTCAGACCACTGAGAAAAGCGTGAAATAAAACCAAACCAGTCGCCCCTCCCAGCCCGGGCCCGTGTCCCTTCCACCCACGGCCTTACTCAGCGGCGTCTGCAAAGCCTCCAGAGCAGCCTGGCTCACGCCTGAGTGCAAGGGCGGACGCTTTACTCGAATGGTCCCAGTGCATCCTCCCGGCGCCCATCTCCGGGCGTTTCTGCCCCAGCGCACCAGGCCTGCCGCCTGCGCCGAGACCCACTGTCCTCCCGCACAGGAGTCCCCGCCCCCAGGCCCTGGTCAGACTCAAGTGCCACGGGGTGGGGGGCTGGGCTTCCCTGCTGGCCCTCCAGCTGAAGGACCTCCCTTCCTGTGACCCCTAGGGAACCCATGGGCGTGCGTGGTGAGCCCACTTTGAAGATGAGGACACAGACGTTCAGGGACAGGCTATACCTTGCTCAAGGTCACTGCAGGCCCCGGGGGCCAGGCTGCAGGGGCACCGCCCTCGGCCCCTCACAGTGCTTCTCGGGAAGCTAACGCCCCCTCCACTCTGTCCCGAAGCCCACCCTCTACCCCCACTCTACCCCCAACCTCCACGTGGCCGTTGGCCCCAGGGGACGGGTTCTGCCCCCTGGGTGACGCTCCGGGCCAGCCTACACTGCCCGGGGGCCTTTCCGAGCCCATCTGTGCACCTCAGCAGGGCAGCCCCCCACACCCCTGCTTCCTGGGAGAAGCCATCTCCTCTGACTGAGCCTGGCCCTGTCCTCAGGGCGTCCTCGGTGACCTGCCCCCAGGGGATACTTTGCCCCGAGCAGGGGGTGGGCAGTGGGGGTGGGAGAGCCCGATGTGGAGTAAGTTGTCCAAGGTGAATAAAAACAGGCCCCACAGCTTTTGTTCACGTGCCCAGTTCTGGTCCAAGTCACCTGTCCCATGGGAGCCAGCTCTGAAGGTCAAGGACATGAGCCCAGGGCAGGCATGGGGGCTGCTGGGAGTCCCCGTGTGTACACACCTGCACACGCCCTGGCAGGGACGGGCTTCCAGAGCTCAGGACCCCTTCCCACGGCCATCCGGAGCCTCCACCACACAGGGGAGGGGCGGGCGGTAGAGCAGATGGGGAGGAACTGGCGTGGGGAGGGGAGCTGGGACCCCAGGAGCACGCCAGGCAGGGCATCAGGAACCCCAGGAACCCCAATGTCCCGGCCTCTCCGACTGTAGCCCTGAGTGGCTGTGCTGTCCAGTTCTGGAATCTTCTGCGGTGTTGGAAACCCAGCCTGGCCCTTCCCTGGGCAGTAATGACCTTGGGGGAGGCACTCAGTTTGCCCGCCCTGTGAAACGGGCTGCACGTTGGCCTGGGACCCAGAGGCCGTGCAGGTGGGTGCGAGGAGGCCCTGGGAACTGGGAGCTTCGGCCGTCTGCCCCCTTGTGCCCCAAACCCCAGCCTGCCAGACCGTTACTTTACAAACAGGCCCCAGCCCCCACGCCTTTCCCAGCCAGGAGGCAGAATGATGTGGCGGAACTTGGCAGTTTCTGGAATTTACTCCAGCGCTCTCCAAGGGAAGAAACTAGGCAGAGGCCTCAGGGGGCTCTCGGGGCCAGTGTTAGCTCCCGCCTCCGCCCGCTGCCTCCCGCCCACCAGGGCCGAGCCCCCCCACGGTGCAGGGACTGCTGCGTCCGGTTTGCAGACGGCCAAACGGAGCCTCGGAGAGGGGACAAGGCCTGTGTAGGGCTTCGCTGCCCGACAGGGGACCCCTGCAGGCTGGGAGGACCCCCGCCCCCCAGACCTGCAGTGGCGGCCGGAAAACCACAGCGGAGTGTGGACACAGGCGCAGATGGTCTGCGCCCCTGGTTCTCTGCTCAGGGCGACGCCGGCCACACCTGGGACTGCCCTGAACGCAGGACGGCCCAAGTCACAGGCCATCCTCGCCTTCCCTGCACCCCCCGGGGAGGGGCTCAGGCTCCCCCCTGCAGGCTGCCGGCCCCCTGGAGCTGCACGGTCCTCGTCCAAGTCCCAGGGCAGGACGTCACAGGAAAGCGCAAGCCGGCAGACCAGCCGCAGAGGCAGTTATGAGCGTGTCGTTATTAATTATTAATGTATCAATACAATTAATACAGCGCCTCATGAATAATCCACGTGCTGGAGCTCCGGTCTGTGGAGGGCTGTGGGGAGGCCGCCAGGCCTGTGGGCAGACGGGGGAAGGGGGTCCCCAAATACATGGGCCCCTGTTGTAGCAGCCTCCGTGACCAAGTCGGCCCTGAACCACGAGCGAAGCCTTCTGATGGACTTGCGCAGACCCCCGTCAGCAGGCCTCCTCCGCTGGCCAGGGGCTCCGTTCCGGGGCCAGTGAGGGTCTGGGCAAGGCCACCTCCTGGGTGCGTCCGGGCAGCCCCTCCCGCCTGCCACCAGTCTGGGGACAGGCCGGGAGGGCAGCTGCAGGGAGCTGTCCACAAGCAGGTCCTGAAGGTCGTTCTCTGCCTCCCGGCCTTTCCGGGTGGGGTTTGCAGATGCAGAGGACCAGACGTGTCCCCGGGGTCCTTCGGCAAACCTCTGGCCAGGCCTGAAGCAGACGGTCCCCAGCCCCGTCCCGTCTGTGAGCAGCCCCTTCCCAAGCCAGGAGCCCCGGCACAGGGCCGGGGCACTTCCCACGTGGGAGCAGGGACGCCCGGGAGATGTAAATGCAGCTGCTATTTCTGTGAGATTATGATGACAGACGGAACTGATCGGAAATGGGGCCAAGTGAACAGCAGACGTGACCTTCGCTGAGTGACCTGAAGGTCGGTGCTGGGGCTGGGGAAGGGGCGCACCCCGGACAGCTGGAGTTACTGAGTGTGGGATCTGGGGGTGCAGCTAGGGGAGCCCCCGGGCAGGCAGGAGACCACAGTCACTTTTCTGGAGGTGACGGACGGTGCTCCCAGGTTTGCATCCCCAGGCCCCTCTGCCCCAGATTCCCCACCGAGGACCGGCAGGCCAGGCCGCACCGGACGGAGCGGGCCTGGGGTGGAGGCGGGCCGCGCAGGCTCTCTGGCCCCGTCCGCCCCGTGGTCCTGGTCTCCCAGTGGGACAGGGGTGTGTGGGCGGGTCCGGCCTGCAGCTACTGGGGTGGGCAGGTGGTGGGTGGGCGTCTCCCATGCCCTGAGCTCCCTCTGGCTCTCAGGTTGGTGCCAGTCTGTCCCATCCACGCCAGAGAGGTTTCCCGACACTTGAGGCCTGCGCAGTGGCAAGAACCAGTGAGGACACGAGACACCCACTCCTTGGGGCAACCTCCCCCCACTTAGGTTCCAGGGGTCACAGCCACTCTGAGGGGTTGCGGGACCCTGCAAACAGCTGGCCTCCCTGACAAAACTGAGTGGGACGCGGTACCCCTCCCCCAGGTTTGTGACAAAGGCCTGGCGGCCTTGGTGCCCATTTTTCAAAGTGGACAGCAGCCTGTCCCGCCCCCTACGGCTGATGTCAGTGTGTCCTGGTGTCTCACGAACAGGCTTGGGGGACAGGCCTAGACTCCTCACTGGGCCCCCCATTTCCTCCGTGCTGGCAGAGCCCCCCTCCCCACACCCTGCTGGGAAGGACTCTCCCAGCCCTGGTCCTGGCATGTCCGCCAGCAGAGCCAAGGCCCCTCCGCCTCACACCCCTTACCTGCCCCGCCCACCGTGTCGGGAGTGGTCTCCTGCCCACCCCACCCCCCGCCCTCCACCTCACTCCCACCCTCAGGAGGATGGGACCCCGGAAGGAGAGGCCCAGTTGGAATAATTTTCTGGGGGCTGGGGCTACTGTAAATCCCGCTCCCAGGACAGTGGGCTGTTTGTGGGGGAACTGCATCCCCAGATGCAAGAAGCCCTTGTCTGCCCCAGAATGGGCAGCCCCACCTGGCCTCAGAGAGCCCCCGGAGGGGCTGTCCTGGCTCCGCAGGAGCTGGGGCTTGGCCACAGTGGGTGAGGGGCTCCTGGGGCCTCCACTGTCACTCGCCACATGTCCACCGCTCAGCCGATGACACGGGGCTGCTGGGCTCACCACGCACTCAGCCCAGCCAGGGGTTGGGGGGGACGCGGGGGACGGAGAACACTCGCATGTTCGTAAATGACGGGGACAATCACAGGGAGGGCCGCCCCGGCTGGCGCCGCTCGGTGGACCGAGCGCGGGCCTGCAAACCAAAGGGTCACCGGTACGATTCCCAGTCAGGGCACGTGCCAGGGTTGCGGGCCAGGTTTCCAGTAGGAGCTGCAAGAGGCAACCACACACTGATGTTTCTCTCCCTTTCTCTCTCCTTTCCCCTCTCTCTAAAAATAAATGAAAATCTTTAAAAAGCAAAAACAAAGGGAGGGTAATATTTTGTGACGCATGAAGATTTTATGGAATTTGAGTTCGAGTCCTGTGCAGGAAGGTTTCCCGGACCCCCCGGCCCGTTTGCCCCTGTGGCTGCGGAGTGGGACTGTCTGGCTCCCTGCTGGCCCTCGGGGCCCTGCTGCCTGCCGGGCATTTTCACAGCCCCTGTGTGTCACCAGGGTGGCCCGGGGTCAGTGCCGCGGTCCTTTGCCGGGGACCGGATGAAAGGCCCCAGGGTGGAAGTTGGGAGGCAGAGATGGGGCGGTGGCAGTAATTCAGCAGCCGGTGGCCCTGGCCTGGGCGGAGGTGGGAACCGCCTGAGTGGGGTGGCCCTTCCATTTATGGGGAGTCGGAGCACAAGGAGGTCCTGGACCCTGGGTGCCGGGCAGAGACGGGGCTGGACCCTGCGGTGACCCTCGTCCTGGGCTCCCCCCCAACTTGCCTTAAACATCATGGGCTGCTGAGGCTCTGCCTGCTGGGGACGGTCTCCCTGCAGCCACCACATGGCCACTGCCACCGGCCGATGCCGGGATGGGGCCCAGGCTCCGAGCGGGCACCGGGCTGCCCAGGGTGTGGCCAGGACGGCAGGGCCAGGCTGGGACTGAGGGGCAGGTGTCCCCATCCCAGTCAGTGTCACGTCCTGACCTGAGTCACTGGCTCGTATTCAAACTCCGAGGAAGCCTTGGTGAGTTTCGGGGCTTCCGAGTGGATGCGTGGGTTCTGGGCCTCCAGGGCCACCACACTGGCCACCAATGCAGGAGGGCCTGAACCGTGCCTAATAAACCGGAAAGCTAACTGATCAGCTTCTTGGGCGCCGACCAGGGGCGCAGGGGTCCCCGGTCCTCAGGATGAGGACAGGGTGGGGGGCCAGGCCCAGGGCCCCGCCAGGGACCACGTTCCACACTGGGGGCTGTGCCAGGGAGGGGGAGGGAGGCTGGACGGCTGGGCCAACAGCTCCCCCTTCAGAGGAACTTCCCAAGTCCTCCTCCGGGACAGGCCCAGGTCCCCTGCAGGACAGCGTCAGCGCCCCCTGAGACATGCCCCCGAGAGGACAGCGGCCCTGGGTGTTTGTCCTCCTGGATGCGGGGGCAGGGGCGGCAGGGAGTTGTGGCAGCAGCGGTCCCACCTGGGTCCCCATCCCTCCATTCCTGGAGGAAGTTGGGGCCCTGCCTGGAGGCCACCCACTGGGAACCTGTGAGCTCACGGCGGCCCCTCAGGACCCCAGCACCAGCCCCCTGCCCCTGGTGCCAGGCTCTACCCAGGAAAGGTACGTGTACTGAGGTCCCCCCAAAGCTCAACACCCCAAAACTGAGAGCAAGGCGTCCACCTTACTGTGGGCAAGGCCGGTTTTCCCTGCGGTTCTCTCACGGACACTGGCTGCTCCCCGGCTTCCCTGGGCCCTGGGGTGGGGCCCTGCTCCTCCGGTCCACCCGGGGAGCCCCACCTGCTGGCTGTCCAGGGACCTGAGTGACCAGAGTGACATCGGGACATGCAGGCCTCCCGTCTGAGCCTTCCTGGCTCCCACCTCAGGTACCCAGCTAGGGGGTGTCCAGGGGGCGGGCCCACGGGGGCCAGGCTCCAGGACGTACATTTTCGAGTAGCACTGTGGTGTGAAAACGGACGTTTATTTCCTCAGCAACCTGCCAAGGACTCAGCCGCCACTCTGCCACCTCCCCGGGTGGGCATGGGGGGCGGGGAGCGGAGGAGGGCGGGAGTCTCAGCCCTGCGGTCCCTGGCCTCTGGCCTCGATGGTGTTGGGGTTCACGTACTTGCAGCTGGCCGGTCCCGCCGGGCCTCCGAGTGGCCACGTGACTCCTGCCGGGCGTCGGCGCGATCAATGCACAGCTACAGCTGGTTGAAGGGGACCAAATCCATTGAACAGTTGATTTGGTTCCATTTTACCAGCTTTAGCAAAGCATTTGGCTCCCGGATCCGGGGAGACCGGTGGCGTCCATGGCGACGGTGGCTCCCGGAATGACGAGGGACGAGCCGGGCCCACCCCCACTGTGGCGCCCACCTGGCTGGGCGGCCCCTTGAGTTCTACGGGACCCAGGCATGAGAGGGGCAGTCAGGATGGGTTGTGGCGGGTCATGGACCAGGGACACACAGCCAGACTCACGCACACAGACACGCACACTCTCAGACACAATGACACGCATGCTCCCAGCCCCCCACTGGATTTACCCGTGGGGCCCCTTGGAGGTCTGGAGAGGCCAAGGGCAGAGGCCGCCTTCCCGTCAATGACACTTCCCCACCCTGCCTGTCCCCTGACTTTTGTCAGGTGCCCAGGGCGCCTGCCAGTCTCAGCCCTGGGGCACGGCCAAGACCGGCAGGCCCTACACTCATGGGGGGGTGTCCTGGGGAGATGGGGCCCCTGCAGCTGGAGGCTCTTGACCCCTTCCGCCTGACCAGGTCCTCAGCTGGAGCTGGCGCAGGACAGTCCCTCAGTCCCACCGGGTCCCCGTCACTGACTCAGATGACATAAGTTCTGCTCTAGAGAATTAGTTTCCCTGCCAGCACCCGGTGCATCAGAAGCGATGAATGACGAGGGGACAGCAGCTCTGGCAGGGCTGGGGACTCGATGTCCCATGTGTGTGGACGTCCCTCTGGGCACAGACAGGCCTGACCAGCGGGGTGGCCGCAGTGCCCTTGGCTGTCCTGCTCCGCATCCCTCTTTCTCAATGCTGCAGGGACAGACACTCTGGCAGTGGGGACAAGGGCACAGCATGACACCTGTGCCCCAGCTCCCATGTTCCCCCCCTGCGGTCCCCTCTGCAGGGACCCCTGTCATCGGCTTGGCCTCCTGCCACCAGACCAGCTCCCTGAAGTTTACCGGGAGCCCGGGGTGGGCTCTGACCCTCCCGGCCTCGCCTCCCAAGACCAGACAGGTGGTCCCTGGGTGACAGAGGGGGTGGCCAGACCCAGCTCTGCAAACACCTCTCTTGCTTTAGCTCCGGAAGCATAGAGGCAGTGGCAGACCCTGGGCCCCAGCTCGGGCCCACCGACGCTCCAGGAAAGAGAGGAAGGAGCCCCAGGCAGCTGCCACCGTCACCGCTGTTACCGACAGAGTGAAGCTGGAACAGGAAACGCACCTCCTCGTGCTGACCATGCCGCCACGGCTGGGGGGGGCAGAGGGCTGGGCGGCTGCCCCCGGGGACCAACACCCCCAGTCCAGCCTCCACAGAAGCCCCACAGCCACACCGCGCAGCCCACACGGGGGTGCTCCTGGGACCCCTGCTGTTTGATTCCGAGGGTCACCCGGTCAGGAGGAACTGCCGCAACATTACAGGCCTCTGCTTCCGCAGCAAGGCCTCCCGCTGGGCCTGTCCCACACGAGTCCCGTCCACCTGAGGTCTGGCTGGGCCCCGCTCAAAGCCATTCAGACACCAAACCCAAAGGAGGCAGAGCGCCAGGCCCAGGCTGGGGTTCAGGGCCAGGGGGGCTCCCACAGAGACCTGGAGGGTCGGCATCACCGAGGCCCACAGCAAACCCAGGTCACTTCACCACAGAACCTCATCCATGTGGCGTGTGGCCGAGCAGCCTCGGGCGACGGTGGACACACTGTGGCCGAGCTCGCACAGAGCCCCCATGTGCGGGGCAGGCGTCTGCCCACGTACGGCTGCCCAGTGGTGGCTCCCGAACTCCTTGCGAGTATTGTTTTCTTTCCTCTCTGAAAAAGGCCAAGACCGTTCAAAGGCCAGGCGCCTTCTCGGGCCCAGGGCCCAGAACCCCTGCTCCAACCTGGGGCCCTACGCTCCCCTCCTCTGGGGACCTCCAGGCGGCCCAAAGCCCCCTTGCTTATCCTGGGCCACCGACCCCAGAGCACCCCACAGGAAGCAGGCGGCGCCCCTGCCAAGCCGTCCCCGAGGCCAGCAAACCTGCCACAACACCGGCATTTACAGGGACAACGCCTCTGGCGGAAGATGAGCCTGCCCGGGCCGGGCCGTGCGTTGGTGCACCCCTGTCCCTGCCTCTGTTTCCGCTCGGGCACAAAGGAGAGAGACCACGGCTTGTACAGTGGGCGCATTTTATGAACCAAACAATTGGTTTTAAAACGTCTGCTGATGGAATCACCCCACACGGGAAGTACACTCAGCATTTTTAAGCAACAACTGACACCAGACACGGGACTGGCTGCCGAAAACACCAGCAGCCCTGTTAAAAATCAATAGAAAATTAGACGCTCTGAAAATGCAGCCCAATTAGTGGTGACCGGGGACCACGGCGGCGGAGATGGAGCCAGAGCTGGACGGGATCGCCCCAGACACACCTCCTGTGGAGGCCGGATCCCGCCACCGCCGCCTGGCCCCCGCACACCCCCAGCTGGGCAGTCTCGTGCCAACACCCCTGGGCCAAGCAGCAGCCACCGCCTCCTCCAGGAAGCCCTCCTGCATTTGATCAGGGCCCTGGTGCCCACAGTGAGCAGGATCTAAAGACACCCTGGCCAGGCGACCTGAGCCACACCCTGTGGCCCTTCCCTCTTGCTGCCCCCAGGTCTGACCTTTGGTGGAGCAGAGGATGACCTTGGGCTCTATAGCACCCACCTAGCTGGGGGTCCTGGGGGCTGCCTTGGCCTCTCTGAGCCTCAGTTCCCCACGTGGGGGGTGCCAGCCCCAAGTGATCTCCCGGGATTGCTACTTCATGCCCCTGTCAGTGGGGGACCTCGGCCACATCCCTTCCTCAGGGCATGACGTCCATTTCAGGCAAAAACCAGGCAGGACCCTTCTCCCCAGGAGAAAGTGTCACTGACACCAGAGTCCGGAGTGACAACAGGACTCCAACCTCTGTTCACGGACCCTCAGCAGCCAGGCGCGCCTGCCAGAGCGACACTGCCCGTGGAGGCCACACGGCAGAGGCCAGGCTGCCCCTGCACCGGCCATCACAGGCACAGGCCC